GCATGGCAGGGCAGCCGTGCCCTGCTGCCTGCTCGCGAGGCTGACGTACGGGTTGGAGCAGGGGTGTAAAAGCCCCGCTTTTAATGGGTTCCAGTTAACCGATAGGAGCTGCCTACCCCAGTCGGGGGCTGCTCCAGCCCCACAGGCCCGCCACCTGTGTAGTCCCTCCACCCCCCTCCACGGCAGGTTACATGCTGGCTCCCCTCTCCGGGGAGGTGGCTTCGCTGCAGCCTGCAGTGCGTGTAACTGCTAGGATTGTTACCGCTTACACGGTTACTTTTCTGCAGCACTGGTCTGGAGAGGACAGCTGTGCTCTCCCCGCGTGTCTCGTTTCCTTCCCAGCCGCAAGGGTCTGACGGCTGAGCGCCGGGCTACTCACGCTCCCTGCCCACAGACAAGCTGCCCCGCCCCCCGGGGACGAGGGTCGATGTTGGCAGCCCCGTTTAATAGACCTGGCGACATGCCAGGGTGGTACCGTGGCCAGGGAGAAAACCCCGGAGTTCTGGGTTTGCCTGCTGAGCCAGTTAACTCCCCGCCTGCCTGTACATGGGGCCAAAACCCTGCATCCGGAGCCCCCAGTACACGGGGCTGTCGCCTTTGCTTTGGTCGGAAGCACAAAGGCCGTGCCCTGTCCCCTGCAGGCTGCTTCCTCCATCTCACAGCGAGCGTGTGCAGGACACCGCGTGCTCTGAGCGCCTTCTCCCTCCATTCCAGCTGTGACTGCACCAGCCTGCTCCTGCAGGAGTGTAGCAAACAGGGGCTGCTCTCGGAGGCCAACATGACCAACCTGGTGGCCAAGCGGTAGGTCCCCAGCTCTGCTGCTTTGGCAGCCGGCGCATCCCTTTCCCCCGGGGAGTCGCTGGGTTCGGGGCGCCCGGAGGGTCTGTCCATTGGGAGTCCCCGGGGCAGTGTGGGTCTGACCCGCCGGCCAAACCCCAAAGGAAGAGCTGGAGCGGGGAGGGGGCCTAAAGGATCCCAGGTGTCCCAGCTTGGATAGAATCCTAGAGCTGGAAGAGACCTCAGGAGTCATCACGTCCAGCCCCTGCCCAAGGCAGGACCAGACCTGGCCTTGGCTGGTCTCTGGAGCAGGCTGTGGGACCGGGAGGGTAGGGGAGGGGTTGGTCAGCACAGGGAGCTGTATCCTTGGCTCAGCTCTTCTGGGACGTGGCTGGCCGCAGGCTGCCTGTGTGGGGTGGGGTGGATTCCCGGGGGCTGGGACCCCGCCCCTCTGGGCGGGGATGGGGTGCTT